TGAGAAGTTTTTGAAGTTAAACAATTTGGAACAAGCAATTTTGAGAAGAATATCCGCCATCTTAGGATCCGCCATCTTGGACCGCCATCTTGAATTTTCTAAAATGCCATTAAAAAACTAAGCATTGAGGCAAACAGTTCAAAATGTCTTAAATACTTCTCAAACTAACATTTTATGAATAAAAAAGTGAGTTTCGAAGTGCTACTGATGGTTTTAATGAAATTTTCTCCCATGTGAAAAAATGACTGAAAACTACCCACCCTTCCCCCCAAAGGTTTTGTTGTCGAAAAAGGAATTGTAGTGTCAGCAATGGGAGCAAGCTCAAATAGGTAAAAGATGCATAATAAAACAAGAAATAAGCTTTAAAAATGAAACATTAAGCATATTTTACATTTTTGAAAACCTATGTKTCAAAAACTGGTTGCCATGGCGACATGGATGACGTTATCAACAAAAAATTTACATCAAAATCTGTCCAGATAAATTTTAGGAAAAGTCCGAAAGTTTCAGAGGTGTAGCCGTGTTGGTTCGAAAGTTATTGGCTTTTTACGCGAGAGGGGGCTCAAAAGCCCCCCCCCCCCCCCCCCCCCCAGTCTGAATAGGGTTAAGTTTGTGAAATAAGATAAAATGACTTTAAATGACAGCTGAATCTCAAAGCAAGGCTATATAGATCTTTGATTTCTTTGTCTGTTATGTCAAACAGAAATGGTAAATATGTTAGCAACCTGATCCAGCCTTTGTTTATTTATTTATATATTTTTTCATGTTTTTTCATTTGGATTTTTTTTGATGATTTATAGCCGTCAAACGGGTGAATTTCTACGTCATAAACAAATCCTAAATTCAGTACAATAATAACAACGAGAACCACTACATGGAACTTACCGTGCCCAGTTCAATAGTCTCCTTCACGGTTACCTGCGCCATCTTGAAAGGTAGCCGTGCCTTTGAATCGAAGCGAGACGACCGTTGAGCGTGCAATGATAGATACCTGTGAATTATTGCCTGTAGGTGTGAAAAAAGGTTTCTATCATTGCACGCTCAACGTTTGTCTCGCCTCGATGATGGCGCAGGTAACCGTGAAGAAGACTATTAAAAGGACATGCCGTGAATACAGTCATCACCGTATCAATATTGTTTGATTTCGCTCAATTGTGATACCTATAATGTTTGTCATTTGGCTAATATTAAAGTTCTTTAACTTCCTGTCCTTGGTCCTGAGGCATTTGAGAATAGTTGTGGTGCTGTTGAGGTGACGTTTTTGAATCCATTTTGTTTGGGTAGTCAAAGTCCCGCAAAATAACAAGGATATACAGTATGAAATCGATGTCAAATAATTCCAGTTTGAATTCCTATTCTGAAAGAATCATTAATTTCAAACGTTAGATACTTCGAAAATGACTTAACTGGCGAGTTTGAAGGACTTAGTTGATCTAGGGAGCGAGTAAACTAATTTTTAGTTCTCCATACACTTCTTTGTAATTTTTTGAGGTCATTGGCGCGTGACACGCTTGAAAAATTTCTGAAAGTATTCGCTCTTGATTGTCGATAGAAGAAGGCTCGCTAAAAGTAATCGCTCCTGATCCTAGAAGGTGTATCAAAATTTAGATCTAGATGATTCACTTGTAAGTTTCCGCTCAAGCTCAAAATATCCAGTCGTATAAAGATTTCGCTCAGAATACCTCTCGTAATGTTTGGAGGATTTTTCGTGCCCAAAACAGCAAAAATGTTCAGTAGTCTCATCTCCTTGAATGACCGCCATCATACCATGTGGTTTTATATACGTGAGCAAAGTTGAGCAAACGCTACTACCACGGGCTTTAGGAGACACCTTGTTTTGAGTCGTGGGAAATTCTTGTTGGACAAAAGAACACGCTAGTTTACTTACTTGAGTCTTTCATTGTTAGTCTTATAAGCTTGAGTCTCCTAAAGCCCGTGCTACTACGCTTAATGGCAATGAACAGAATATCGTACTTTTTTTAAGTATCATATATACCAATAGGCTCACTACGCTACCACGCTACAACGACGCTACGCTACTACGCTACTACGCCACTACGCTACTACGCCACTACGCCACTACGCTACTACGCTACTACGCTACTACGCCACTACGCCACTACGCTACTACGCCACTACGCCACTACGCCACTACGCCACTACGCTACTACGCTACTACGCCACTACGCCNCCAAGGAAAATGCACTGTTTGGCTCGATACACCAACCTTTATGGTCTAATCCAATGTCGTAATATATGCTCTTACACAAATGAACACTTTGCAATAACAAAAGGGCTCGAATCTCAAAGAACCAGCTCCATTTCGGCGATTATAGTTACCCACACGGCTTACTATAATCAACGAAACGAAACGAAACGAAACGAAACCTCTCCCCTCCCCCCTCAGTTATCCCTTTTGTTTAGAAAATTTTTACAGATTGTAACAACACTAGAAAACACATTAGAGTCCGCCATCTTTGATTTTGTTTTATATTCCATACCGCTGACCATATTGTTTCCTTATCAATCGATAATAAATCGATATTCTCGTCCACTAAAGTTTTTTCTCGTCCATGAAAGTTCTTCTCGCATATCAATATTTTTTACTCGTCCACTGAAATTTTTCTCGACCATAAAAACTTTTCTCGCATATCAAAATATTTTTCTCGTCTATTGGTAAGTTTTTCTCGTATACCAATCTTTTTTTGTGGATGTCTCAAAAATGCAACTCGTCTAGTAATATTTCGAACTCATACTGTAATATTTTTAACTCGTCATGTAAATTTTTTTTCACTGTACTTATTTCCTATCCGGCTTGCCATAAAATACCAATGAAAAAGCTGATACTTTATAGCAGAAGAGCTTATTCGCTTTGCTTTCAGTATTTCAGGTTTCCTACTTACTTAAAGTGTACAAGACCCCAGCGGGGGAGGGCTAGCGGCTTTTTTGTTTCTGTTGCTATTTTCCAAGTCGACATTGTTGTTATGTCTTTTAAAATATCAACTATAAGAAGAAATAGCGTAAAAAAGTTAATCTTCCTGAAAATTATATTGTGATAAAATGCCTACATGCGTGTATAATGGATCGACTACTCGTCATGAACGTAGTTTCAGTCGATAATTACGTGGGAAATCTCTTTTAATAGGCATTATGTTTTGTGTTTATTTGACGTTAGACATGAAKTTTTTGGTACTTCCACATTATATTATTAACGCATTTGTTTCGGGTTCTGTAATGAAATATATAGGCTATTGATAGAGAGGAAAGACTGATAAGCATGACTTTTTTTTCATTTCAGTTAATTTTTTTAATAATTTATTATGTATGTTGCATATAAATTACATATTTGATAATATTTACAATTAATGAGGAACATACTAAGTATGTTCCTAAGCATGATGTCATACCCTAACCATTCAGMGTAGGATATTTCAAAGGCAGTTTGTTAAGAAATTGACTATAATAAAACGTAGTGAAAGGCTCGTAAGCTATTCTATGTTGAGTTTTTTTCTTTTCCTTTCTTTTCTTTCTTCCTTTCTTGTGTGTGTGTTTTGCCTCCGATTCTTCAAACAAAAGGGATAACTGAGGGGGGAGGGGAGAGGTTTCGTTTCGTTTCGTTTTGTTTCGTTTCGTTGATTATAGTAAGCCGTGTGGGTAACTATAATCGCCGAAATGGAGCTGATTCTTTGAGATTCGAGCCCTTTTTGTTATTCCAAAGTATTCATTTGTGTGAGAGCATATATTACGACATTGGATTAGACCATAAAGGTTGGTGTATCGAGCCAAACAGTGCATTTTCCTTGGCGAGATATAAACCGATACTTCGGTATTCTAGCTCAGTGATGCCGCAACGTGACCGTCTGAGTCTGATTTGCCGGATAGCCTAAATTCTGTCTCTTCTGGATTAAAGAAAACATTGGTATTCAAGCTGCAGTATTCCTAAATGAAGATTGAAGCGGCCATGGTTTTCAGAGGTCAAAGATGTAGCCGTGTTGACATCGCTGGCACAAGCTGGCGCGACGCCAACTATGCCGGCTTTGCAAACTGTCTGATTCTTGAACTTTTTAAAATTACTACAATTAGAATCAGTCTATATTTTTACTTTGTTTTATAGCGCAAATATGAACAAGGAAAGACTATCAGAGTGAACGGTTTAATAGACCTTTAAGCAAGCTCGTCAACTAGCCCGATTGAGTCACGTTTGCATTATTGCCGTGTGCGTGATGTTTATTGTGTTCACACTTTTAAAGATTTCTCAAAAAACTATTGTATATCTAGAGAGCTAATCCCGTTTCGTTTCGTTGAATACAGATTCCCGTTTCGTTTCGTTTCGTTGAATACAGATTCCCGTTTCGTTTCGTTTCGTTTCGTTTCGTTGATTATAGTAAGCCCCTTTTGGTAATAACAATATAAGTGACTTTGAACCAACGTGAGATAATTGTCGTTCTTGGGCCGAGTTGTTGAATACCCGATTAGCGTTAACCCAGGACGGGGGTTAAATCCCTAGGTTTTTTAAAGGGCTACTTGGACGAAAACTGTGAAACATTAGAAAAGACTTGGAAATCAAATAGACCTATCCATATGAGTCTAATAATCATGAAGCAACAGATTTCAAGAAGATATTGATACAATTCCTTAACAATTTGGGCAAAAAATGTTGGAGTACATGACGTCATCTACTCCATCCTTTTGTTCTTCCATCTTTTGAATCAAAATTTCTCTGACGTAGGATAATTCCCAAACAAATATTTTCCCGCAATTGTTTTTAATAGATAAAAATGAGGCATATATTTGTATTGCTTCAAGTTTTGAAATAAGACCATTTTCATGCAAGTAGCACTTTAAGAGTTAACCCAGAATTAACGCTAATGAAGCTTTGAACAACCCGCCCCAGTGAATATAAGAAAGTCAGTAGCCCATGGCCACTATCACTTTGGGCTATTCTTTTGAAAACAGAAACCTTCGTGAGTAGCCTAAAGATATGAGAAAACTACGCAAACTACGCGAGGTTAGAGCGTATAAGTATACAAAGCGCTTATCTTACAACAGGCTGGGTATATTTAGAATATTTTAGAAACACCGACACAGCCCACACTAGATTACTGCTAGTTTTCACCATTTTGCATGACTATTAGAGCGGATTTCGTATGAGTGGGAAACGGACGATACTGTACGGTGACCGTAATCGTACTGTAACCGTGTTCCAGTGCCCCATTGCTTCACTAAAATTGTGCAGGCCAGGTCCGGTAAACGTGCGGTAACGTTGTCCCACTCATACGAAATCCGCTCTATAAATATAAGTTATGTTTCAAAATCCGTTTTGATAGTATTGCATGACTTTGCATACGACATACACGAATCATATTTACATTGTTATGTACACAAGAGTTTACCCTGTAGCCATGGCTTCTTTTTTTCAATGCTAAGTTCTGTCCCTTTTGCTGATTGCCAAGGCTCTTTCGCGAAACTTTCTGGCTTCATCCGGTTTTTCTTGATCCTTTAACAGCGATTCTAACTTATATAACGTTTTAACCAACATACACGACTTTCAAAAATGGCGCCAGTTCATGTCCGCCTATATTGGGGACTAGTGACGAATCATGGAAACGAGACCTGAAAGGCCTTCCATCAAGAAATCACTACGAAGATCGTATGTAGGCAGTGTCCAAAAATTTGAAAGATGTATTGGTATGTTATTTATAACAAAACACTCTTGCAAGTAACCATGGAAGCTCACTATACGGAGGCTGGCCTATGAGACCTTGTTTTAGTGCTTCGTCCCCAGTGCCCTGGTCGGAGACCGTAACACATCGCGCCATTTTTGAAAGTCGTGTATAGGCGCTCTCTTTAATTGCGAGTGCTCTTTCATAGTAGTCTCTAGCTTCATCAAGTTTGTCGATACATTCTGAGAGTACTGCCAGAGCTTCTCAACTGTTAGCTATATACGGATGGCTACCAACGTGTCTTTCTTGGTTGATTTCAATGGTGTTGTCCAGATACTCTTTAGCTTTTTGATAACCCTTCATTTTGAAAAAAATATTCTCCTAAATGCCAATGACTGTTTCGTCCGCTTCGATTGCCATTGCTTTATCGTAACAATCTTTCGCTTCATCAAGTTTTCCGAGTTTGTACAACACTAATCCTAAATTATTTAACGCTGTAGCCACGTGAGGATGATTGCTGCCGTAAGTGCTTTCGTAAATTGCCAGTGCTTTATCGTAACAATCTTTCGCTTCNAGAACTTGAACTGGCCTCTGCAGCAACAGGTGATTCGGGGTGATAGGCTCGAAGTCGTCAGGGTCATCTGAACTTGCACAGAGTGGTCTAGAGTTCAAGATACTTTCAACTTCAGTGAAAACTGTGACAAGAGTGTCATCATCTACTAAACTTTCTCCGAGAATTGCCTTTAGTGCTGTTCTGAGTCTTTCCCAAACTCCACTAGCATGGGAGGCTTTAGGTGGCTGAAAGACCCATTGGCATCCTCTCTGTAGGAGTTCATCATTTACTTGATTCATGTTCCAATTCTCAATCGCTTCTTTGATCTCCTTTTCTGCACCGACGAAATTTGTCCCGTTGTCTGAGTGCAAGGTTTTTGGTGGTCCACGACGGTTGACAAATCTTCTTAAAACGTTGATAAAGCAGTCAGATTCCAACGATGACGCAACATCTAAATGAATGGCTCTTGAATTGAAGTATGTAAATATAACTCCCCAGCGTTTAACAATAGCTCTTCCTCTCTTGATACTCAAAGGGCCGAAATAGTCTACACCTGAATRTGTAAAACATGGCTCATAAGGAGTTGTACGAATAGCTGGTAGTGGAGCCATCAGTTGCTGCATGGTAACTGCTCTTTTCCTCTTACATTGAAAACAGGAACGCACTACTCCTCGTACAGAAGACCGTCCTTGAGGAATCCAAAACCGTTCTCTCAAACTAGCAAGTATGTGATTCTGTCCAGCATGAGCTAGTCTCTCGTGGAAGTGAGAAATCAGCAATCTAGACACATGATGCTTAGGTGGTAGAATCATAGGAAACTTGGTATCAAATGACATAGGGGCACCAGAGATGCGACCCCCAACTCGTAAAATTCCATCGTGCAAACATGGCTTAAGCTTAGTGAGTGTACTTGTAGATTTGACTGTATTCTGACCCTTCAGAGTCTCAATGTCATTACCATAGACTTCACTTTGAACTAGTCGTACTATTGCCAACGTTGCTCTCTCCAGGTCTCTGCTGGTGAGCTGTTTAACAATGTTGATGGAGGCACCYTTMTTACGRCATGCAAGATAATCGATGAATTTCAAAWGCCAAGAGACCTTGCGTTGCAGCTTTGACCATGATGAGTATCTCACCAACAGCTGATGTAAGCTATCAGGAAACGTTACAGCAAACGCAAGAGATTCTTTCTTTTGCTCTRKATCATCGTCTGSTAGTGGTTTGACGTCGCTGTTTGGCCAATGAGTTTCATCTTCTGACAAAAATGCGGGACCAGTGAACCATCTATCACTGTCCAACAATGCTTGCGGTGGCAAGCCACGAGAGGCATCATCTGCAGGATTTAGGGTGCCAGGACAGTGCMTCCATTGCTCTGGCTTCGTCGAGTTCCTTATCTCTGCAACGCGATTGGCGACATAAGTCTTGAACCTCCGAGACTCGTTGTTTACATACTGAATGACAAGCTGAGAATCTGTCMAGAAATATACAGCTGAAATTGTCAACTGGATTTCTTTCATTACCATGTTGTKTACACGAACAGCAATAGTGGCTGATTGAAGCTCCAGTCTGGGTATAGACACGTATTGTAGAGGAGCTGTGCGACTTTTTGAAGTCACAAATGAACAMTCAACAGTTCCATTCTCCCCTTTCTTTCTCAAATATGTGACCGTCCCATATCCATACTCCGAAGCATCGCAGAAGTGATGAAGTTGATATGTTGCCTTTGCTSTACATCCACCAACAAAGAAACATCTGGGAATACTCACATCGTTCRACAATGGAAGTTCTTCTCTCCACTTGCTGAAAACATGTTGCAGATCATCGGGAAGAGGCTCGTCCCAGTCAAGTTTCAATTTCCATGATTTCTGAACAACTCTCTTGGCTTTCAAAATTACTGGTGAAACCATACCCAAAGGATCAAAGGTTGAACTCAGTGTAGACAAACAACTTCTTCTAGTGTTATCACTCGACGGTTTGAGTGATACCTTGACACCAAGGGCATCATTCTCAATATTCCATTGCACACCGAGTGCTCTTTCAGTAGGGAGCCTGTCTAGATCAAGATGTTTGATTGTTCGCTCCTCAGCWGGGATAGAAGCCAAGACTTCCTTGTTATTGGAAACAAACTTAGTCAGACGAAAGTTCCCTCTCTTCAGCAAGTCCATGAGCTGAAGAGATAAGTTTACTGCTTCTTCAACAGTAGGCTTTGAGAACAAACAATCATCAACGTAAAGTTATCACGCACAATGTCACAAACGTCTTTATCAAATTCGTCTTCGTTGTCAAGGGCTGTCAAGGCCCATGATGCAATACAAGGCGAATCTGTCTTTCCAAATAAATGTACATTCATCTTGTGGTCCTTAGGTGGAGCGTTCTTGTCATCATCAAACCACAAAAAACGCAACGCGTCTGTGTCTTCTTTACATGCAACTCTGTGAAACATGCTTTCAACATCAGACGAGACTGGTACCACTTCCTTTCTAAAACGCATCAGTACACCAATCAAAGAATTGTTAAGCTGAGGACCTTGATACAGTTCCTTGTTGAGTGATGTTCCACCATATGAAGCAGCAGCGTCATATWCTAMCYTGACTTTAGCCTTGTTCGGATTAATTACTCCATGATGAGTCAGGTACAAGTTTTACCAGTTTTACAAGCCGCTTCATCATCAGAAAGTTTCCTTGCGTAACCTTTACTGATGTATTCCTCCATCACTGCCTTGTAGCTGGAGGCAAATTCAGGTTCACGATTAAAACGTCTCTGGAGCTGTTGAAATCTCCTTTCAGCTTGACGTCTGTTATCTGGTAGATTTGGTTGTTTAGCCCTCCATAGCAGACCAACTTCGTACTTGTTGTCTTTCACACACGTGGTTTCATTCAGAATTTTTTCTTTAAGTCCTCTGCGCTGGTTTCGCCCTCTTCTGTTGTAAATCCATGTTGTTCCAGGGTCCAAAATTTCTCTATCTGCTTCTCCAAATTGCAATTAGATRCTTCCTGGGTGACATCTGATTCAACAGCATGTGGTTTCTGGTAAGCACAGTTCACACTTTCCTTCAAATCTTTGAGCACATCCAAGCCTGCGCGACGCTCCAAATTGCTAACGCCAGGTACATCTTGGCATACATCAAATTTAAATATTGAAAGTGCGATTAACTTCTCAGTGTCATTGTTGAAGACAGGGCCTGCAACAATGACACTGAGAAGTTAATCGCACTTAGTGGCATATGGTTGCTTCTGTGGTTCGTCTCCCCACACGTACTCCAATACAACGTGCGCTTGCGGAACGTCTTGACCAATTAAGACTGAGACTTCATCCAAGTCCACGTGGCAACTAGGCATCTACACATTACTGAGGTGTGGCCAATCTGACAGGTCCAAATGACTTGGTCGATAACTCTGCGATACGTTTAACGTGTTGACCAAATATGCATGATAACATGAGGAAAGCTTGAGCTGTTTTGATCAGCTGAACTTAGATTGAAGTTAACAGCTGACAGTTCACATTCTTTGTTGCAATGCGTGACAATACTAATAGCAACCTTCTCAGGAACTCCTTCAAGGTGTAGTTTCTTAGCAAGCCTTTCAGTGATCAATGAGCTTGCTGCTGCTGTGTCTAGTAGTCCATACGTAGTGAGGGAAGTTCCCTTTTCTCCGGTAACACGARCAGCGACGACCTTGAGTCTGACAAAACTACGCTGGCCTTTCATTGTTGCACTGTGCACGACTGCGTTGGTTGATGGTTGAACATTTCCATCYGGTCTCCTTTCACTATAATGCAAGAGCTTGCTGTGGGTGCTGGGACTCTTGCAGTCCTTCACGTTACAGCTTATTTCGGACTTACAGTCCTTCCTGATGTGGGTATTGGATAAACATAAGTAACAAAGTGATTCAGATTTTGCATATTTTCTTCGSCAATTGGAAGGTTTCGATAGGAAAACAGTACAATAACTCAATGTATGTGCTCCATCATGGCATAATGGGCAAGTTTCTTTAGGTTTAGATTGAGTTTCTTGTTTGGCGTCAGAAATATGATCAGATTGTTGAAATGAAGTGGCTAATGTAGGTATCCTTGTTCTAGGTACAGGAACAGGTTTTGCTTGACGTGGATGAATTGTTGGCTTGCTTCTATTATCATTTCGCCGTCCATAAACAGGGTCGTTCTCAGATTGAGACTCTTCAGCAATAAACCCAGCAAACTCTCGCAGARTCGGTTCAGAACCCCCATGTTGTTCACGATGATGTTTTGCTGTCCYTCTCCATTTAGCTTGCAGTGCATCAGGTAGGCGATCATAAATGGACTTCATGTTGGTCGTACAGTTAAGCTCATTACAGTTCAGTTCCTTCATAATGTGACAACAGGTTTCAAGCTTGTCCGAGAGGCTTAGCAGAGCAGCGCCATCGCCCGGCCGTAACCTTTCTCCAAAGATCACAGTAGATTTTAAAGCCTCAACAATCATTGAA